TAGAAGGCGCTGACAAGTTTTTCACTCCAAAGGCAGCTCACAACACGTGCCACACATACTGATGGCACTTGGGTCTTTTTCCCTCACTTCCCCGACTGATCCTTTGAATATGAAGTTCTCCCAATCCTTTCCAAATTTAATCACTTTCTTTCACCTCTGGTAGTTTCCAGAAACTGACCGTGGTTGGTCCCCTGGGGGAGGGAAAAAGACCCAAGTGCCATCAGTATGTGTGGCACGTGTTGTGAGCTGCCTTTGGAGTGAAAAACTTGTCAGCGCCTTCTAGGTTCAGCCTGGTCCCATAGCTCAGTGGTTAGAGCATTGCTCATGACAAGCAGGGTCCCAGGTTCGAGTCCTGGTGGGTCTGGCGTTTTTTCTCTTTTCAGGCAGTTCACTTCCCCGACTGATCCTTTGAATATGAAGTTCTCCCAATCCTTTCCAAATTTAATCACTTTCTTTCACCTCTGGTAGTTTCCAGAAACTGACCGTGGTTGGTCCCCTGGGGGAGAGAAAAAGACCCAAGTGCCATCAGTATGTGTGGCACGTGTTGTGAGCTGCCTTTGGAGTGAAAAACTTGTCAGCGCCTTCTAGGTTCAGCCTGGTCCCATAGCTCAGTGGTTAGAGCATTGCTCATGACAAGCAGGGTCCCAGGTTCGAGTCCTGGTGGGTCTGGCGTTTTTTCTCTTTTCAGGCAGTTCACTTCCCCGACTGATCCTTTGAATAATAATAATAATAATATTAACTGGTTTTGAGGGAAAGAGACAAACGGGAAAAGTCTGAAAAAAAATCGACTGTCACCACCAGGACTCGAACCAGGGACCCTCGCTTGTAGCCAGCGATGCTCTAACCACTGAGCTATGGTGTAGTCGTCATCCAAGCAGAGACTGTTCAACGTTTTCTTCAGACTTTGTAACTCACACTTCCTGTGAATCCACACAGGCGGGTGGGACGCAGCCCTTACTGTACCCACGCACTTTACGTACAAACTAGCACGCGGGGAGCCCCAAGTCATAAAATATTAACTGGTTTGGAGAATATCTCTTTCCCTCAAACCAGTTAATAATAATAATTATAATTTGAAACTCGGATGTTGAGCCATAAATAAATGTAAAAGAGAAAAGGAAATATGGATACCAGTTTAGAGTAACTCTCCATCACTGTAACATGATACTATTATACAGTCAGAAAGTGCAATAACTAGGCACAAAACTGACAGAGTACTGAGCCATTCGACGTCCTGACACCTAACTTTAACACATTTCCGTAGCGCTAACCGACAGCCTTCCAACTTGGAAGGTTCAAGGTTATGGAAAGACCAAAGAGGGGAAGGCAAGCGCAACAGTAACAATCGACATTCGACATTCTTTGTTCCGTTGGGACTGTAGCTTTTGCGTAGCTTTTGCTCGTTTTCGTTGCGCTTGCCTTCCCCTCTTTGGTCTTTCCATAACCTTGAACCTTCCAAGTTGGAAGGCTGTCGGTTAGCGCTACGGATATGTGTTAAAGTTAGGTGTCAGGACGTCGAATGTCTCAGTACTCTGTCAGTTTTGTGCCTAGTTATTGCACTTTCTGACTGTATATAGTATCATGTTACAGTGATGGAGAGTTACTCTAAACTCGTATCCATATGTCCTTTTCTCTTTTACAATAATAATAATAATAATAGAAGTGGAAAGGAAAAGGACATATGGAAACGAGTTAAGAGTAACTCTCCACCACTGTAACTAGATACTATATACAGTCAGAAAGTGCAACAACTAGGCACAAAACTGACAGTACTGAGACATTCGACGTCCTGACAATTCTTTGATAATTCCTTATAATTCTTTGTTCCGTTGGGACTGTAGCTTGTGCTCGTTTTCGTTGCGCTTGCCTTCCCCTCTTTGGTCTTTCCATTACCTTGAACCTTCCAAGTTGGAAGGCTGTCGGTTAGCGCTACGGAGATGTGTTGAAGCTAGGTGTCAGGACGTCGAATGTCTCAGTACTGTCAGTTTTGTGCCTAGTTGGTGCACTTTCTGACTGTATATAGTATCTAGTTACAGCGGTGGAGAGTTACTCTTAACTCGTTTCCATATGTCCTTTTCCTTTCTACTTTTATTATTGGCTCAATACCCGAGTTTCAAATACTACTAATAATAATAATAATAAGAAAGGGTTTGCACACTTGACTGACTCACGACTGGCAGTCGTGAGTCAGTCAAGTGTCAAGTAAAGTCGGCGGAATAGCGCGAGCTCCGGTGTGGGGAGCAAACCCTTTCTTACAAATCATCGCCGAAGTCGCAACCACTAATTCAGTACAAACACCATGAGCAAAACTTATTTTCATGTAAATAAAGAAGCTTGTTCCTAAACGTTTTCGTCGCCATCTCATCAGAGGATTACTGGCAAATCAACAATAGCTCTTAACTCAATATATATACGCACAATGCAAGTAATAATTTAGACCCTAACTAATGCGAGAAAATGAGAGCTGAAAAAAACATTACACCAATCAACAATATCAGGT